ACCATGAGCTCCTTATTTACAGTTTTTCTTATCTGCCTCCCGACACTATCCATCTACGTACTCCATCGTCTCATTCGTTGACTTTCTTTCAAGTTTCTTTCTCAATATGCACCATATTTATGAGTTCTCTTACCCCATCTAAGCATCTTCGGAAGTCCAGTTTCTCACATTACCCACCTGCTGCTCTTCTTGTAATGTTTACATCCACGAGGTGTTGGATGTTCAGTACAGTGTGATCACTTACACGCAGAGACGCCTCGTGTTCTGTTTCATCTATTTTAGATACACTTACAGTTAATACTAGATCCAGTGTTGTTGGTTCATGATGAATAAAAATGCACAACACCGTGACTGGAACAATACACAAATAACCCGCAAATGGGAGAAAAAAGTTTTCGACGACTTTTCAGTCCGTCTTGGGACATTTACAAAGTCACGTTGTAAGTGGTCCAAGGCGGACTGAAACGTCCTCGTAAGTTTCTCTCTCCAATGTGCGGGTTATTTTTGTATTATTGATTCATCCGCTCGACTCTCTCCTTTAATGTCTTTAACGTAAAGTTTCATTTCATCACCTCAGTAATCTTACGTCTCCTCTTTGTGTGTGTATATGTGTGTGTGTACTCACCTATCTGTGGTTGCAGGGGTCGAGTCTTAGCTCCTGGCCCCGCCTCTTCACTGGTTGCTACTAGGTCCTCTCTCTCCCTGCTCCATGAGCTTTATCAAACCTCGTCTTAAAACTATGTATGGTTCCTGCCTCCACTACGTCACTTTCTAGGCCTGACAACTCTATGACTGAAGAAATACTTCCTAACATCCCTTTGATTCATCTGAGTCTTCAACTTCCAATTGTGACCTCTTGTTTTTGTGTCCCCTCCCTGGAACATCCTGTCTTTGTCCACCCTGTCTATTCCGCGCAGTATTTTATATGTCGTTATCATGTCTCCCCTGACCTTCCTGTCCTCCAGTGTCGTCAGGCCGACTTCCCTTAATCTTTCTTCATAGGATATTCCCCTTAGCTCTGGAACTAACCTTGTCGCAAACCTTTGTACTTTCTCTAGTTTCTTGACGTGCTTTATCAAGTGCGGGTTCCAAACAGGTGCTGCATACTCCAGTATGGGCCTGACATACACGGTGTACAGTGTCTTGAACGATTCATTACTAAGGTATCGGAATGCTGTTCTCAGGTTTGCCAGGCGCCCATATGCTGCAGCAGTTATCTGATTGATGTGTGCTTCCGGAGACATGCTCGGTGTTATACTCACCCCAAGATCTTTCTCCTTGAGCGAGGTTTACAGTGTGTGTGTGTGCGTGTGTGTGTGTGTGTGTGTGTGTGTGTGTGTGTGTGTGAGTGTGTGTGTGTCAACATGAACGTAAACAACATAAATACAAAGTCCTAAAAGGTTGCTTGTAAACGTAAACGTTTTCAATTTCTCTTCTAAAAGATAAAATTATTCACGGTAATAAATTTATACCAAAATTTTATCTGAAATTCAAAAAGCATAGTTGATATATTTTTGTTATATTTTTATTAGCTGGTATTAATGAAAGTAATTAACTGAATTAGTTTTCATTAAATAGGTGAACTGAGTCCATGTATTAAATAACGTAGCCATTCCTGATTTACATCTTGTCTGTTGAGCAGCCTGTTTATCTGTACTGTTGGTGCTGTGTGTTCACCCATCCGTGGCTGTGTGTGTTGAGTCTGTGCTCCTGGCCCTGATATAGTTACCATTTGTCAAACACACTTGTCGATAGATACTTGGCTCCCTCCCTCCCTCCCTCCCTCCCTCTCTTTCCTTTTATTTGTGTGTGTGTTGATGGTGCTGTGTACTCACTCGACTCTGGTGGTGTGAGGTTATAGCGTAGATAAGGGAAGCAGTGAGGAGACAAGTCTTGCGTGAAGAGAGAGTAGATGAGGAAAGGAAAGAGAGAGAGAGAGAGAGAGAGAGAGCGAGAGAGAGAGAGAGAGAGAGAGAGAGAGAGAGAGAGAGAGAGAGAGAGAGAGGATGGGACCATCTCTACTTGCAGTCTGGAGAAAGCTGATCTGTTTGCCGAACACTTTGCTGCCAAGATGCAAGTTTCTGATCTTGGCTAGCTGCAAGAACTATGTTAAAGTTGTCAGTGGTGACAAGAAGTCAGGATGAGCTGTATCTTCTCCTTAAATCGCTGGAGCAAGAAAAGACCGAGGACCCAATTAAGCTGAACCCAAGATTGCTGAGTGTTCCACAGGGATCAGTGTTGGGCCCTTTCTTGTTCACAATTTAAATAAACGACTTAGATGAGGGAATAAATAGCGAAATAAGCAAATTTGCTGATGACACCAAAATAGGCCGTCCAATACTTTCTAATGAGGACATTAGAGTACTCCAGGATGATTTGAATAGACTGATTCAGTGGTCGGAGAACTGACAGATGAAGTTTAATATAGACAAATGCAAAGTTCTAAATGTTGGACAGGAAAATAACCATGCCACCTATAAACTAAATAATGTAGATCTTAATATTACGGATTGCGAAAAGGATTTAGAAGTTCTGGTTAGCAGTAATCTGAAACCAAGACAACAGTGCATAAGTGTTCACAATAAAGCTAACAGAATCTTTGGCTTCATATCAAGAAGTATAAATAACAGAAGTCCTCAGGTTGTTCTTCAACTCTATATATCTTTGGTTAGGCCTCAGTTAGATTATGCTGCGCAGAATGGATATAAATGCACTGGAAAACGTACAAAGGAGGATGACAAAGTTGATCCCATGTATCAGAAATATTCCCTATGACGATAGACTGAGGGCCCTGAATCTGCACTCTCTAGACAGGCGTAAGATTAGGGGGGATATGACTGAGGTGTATAAGTGGAAAACAAGAATTAATAAAGGGGATGTAAATACTTGCTAAAAATATCTAACATAGACAGGACTCGCAGCAATGATTTTAAATTGGAAAAAATCAGATTCAGGAAGGATATAGGAAAGCACTGGTTTGGTAATAGAGTTGTGGATGAGTGGAACAAACTCCCGAGTACCGTCATAGACGCTAAGACGTTGTGTAATTTTAAAAATAGATTGGATAAATACATGAGTGGGTGTGGGTGGGTATGAGTTGGACCTGACTAGCTTGTGCTACTAGGTCGGATGCCGTACTCCTCCCTTAAGTGAATGTGACTGACCTGACCTAGTCAGGTTAGTCACATTCACTTAAGCCGGTGGGAGAATTGGACCTGCCTCGCTTGGGCCAATGGGCCTGCTGCAGTGTTCCTTCTTTCTTATGTTCTTTTGCTCAGAGAAGAAATGCCAGCTGCTATAAGTTACATCAATCACCAGCCTACAGTTATATCAGCCTGAGGTAAACGATGGCAGGTGACACTTTTTCCTGAGAAACACAAATGATGATGGTGTCTAGGCACCATTATGGTAATGCTGGAATAGTGGTAAGAATGAATGGGAGAGTGTTGGTACCCGGAAAGGAAGTAGGTGAAATTGGACTCCAAACTGACTATGAAGAACCATAGTGTAAATCTTGCAAACAAGCAAGTCAAGAAACTTACAGTACTTCGACGTATCTCGCATCTACTCGACAGTAGAGGTGGCAAGATTCTGTAGGAGGCATGAGTACGCTCACACATTCAGAATGCTCTATTTCCATGGATTGCATGCCCACCCTCTCATCTGCGACAGAACAGAGAACAGAGCATGATGACTCGTCTCTCGTCTGGATCCAGCCTGGCTATATCTGTCGTTTCAGGAAAGACCACAACACGGGAGGAATGTGGGTGTCCTTACTGTTAGGTACAAGACCAGTAATGTCAAAGTAGTACACTTGGCTCCACTCTGAGGACAGCGAGAAGTGAGCTTCTACACAACAAGACGGGCATCAAGCAGCAACTTCACTCTGGTAGTAACCTTCTCCAAAACATCACTTCATCTGAGATAATTTATTCCTAGGATGACTCGAGTCTGAGACATGTTCGTACAGCATGATGATATCAACGAAACAAAGCCAGTTGATCAAATGAAATTGCTGACAGATATACAGATAGATAGGAATAAAGGTAAGTACCACCTCTAACACAGACTGGAGAACCTTTAGCCTTGGAGGAAAACGTACCTGAGAGAAACATCTGGAATTTTATCCCCGGAGCTGAGCATATGTCTCTTCCCCCCCTATGTGACTGTTACACCTGACTGTTACAGTTACACCTGACTGTTACAGTTACACCTGACTGTGGTAGTTACACCTGACTGTGGCAGTTACACCTGACTGGGGCAGTTATACCTGACTGTGGCAGTTACACCTGACTGTTACAGTTACACCTGACTGCGGTCGTTGTGTTACACAGTTGCCTAACAAGATACGGCTCATCACCCAAACTCTGCCACGATGAACTCAGCCGTCCAGAAATTTAGCAAATTTATGGGATGGTAACTGTATGTTAATGAGCTCTGGGCACTTACAGTAATGTGCTGCAGCTCATTTCAGCCGGTTGAGGAGGAAATCAGGTCAACCGGTTGTGGAGGGAGTCTGGACAACTGGTTGTGGAGGGAGTCTCGATAACCGGTTGTGGAGGGAGTCTCGGCAACCGGTTGTGGAGTGAGTCTAATAAACTAGTGTATGTGGAGACTCTCTAGTCAACCGGTTGTGGAGGCTGTCTCTTCAGCCGATTATGGAGGCAGTCTAGTTAACCGGTTGCGGAGGGGAATCAGGTGAGCCAGCAGTGGAGGCTGTCTGGCCAACCAGTTGCAAGGAGACAGGGAGGAAACCAGTCGCCTCAGGATTCCTCTCTAAACAGACCACTAATATAAGAATACTACCCACATCTGCATGGTAGATGCGGGTAGTAGACCACTTGGACAATAAATAAAAAGTAGCAACCTGGTAGAAGATTATATTAACTACTGGTAGTAGACAGCGATAGTTACAAGGAAACAAGGATAAACAACTACTCAAGAGCAGATAGACTGGAACACCTGGAGACAGAAAGAACTATACTGGGAAGTGGATTAAGCTACTCACGGTAGAAGATGTTGGAGAGGAGCGTGGCTGGCAGGCAGAAGACGATGACCAACACATCAGCGAAGGCCAGGTTGACGATGAAGTAGTTGGTGGGAGTGCGCATGCGCGGAGTCCTGCGGGGTAAAGCAGTGATACCACTCTCATTATGTAGCCTCTTACTCTAGCCCCAATACATTTAAAAACAAACACAAAGAAGAAAAAAACTGACACAGTACTGATATGTCTTCACCGTGTTAATCTCCCGTCTTTAAAAAAAAAACGATACTGTTGTGTATAGTTTGTGTTAACCCAGATATACTTAAATTTAAAATTATGTATCGCCTGCGTTATCCCCGATCACGAAATGAAGACAGATAAACAAGTTGGTGAGCAAGCAACGTTTGGCTTGCTGCGTAGAGCTTTTTCAAACCGTGACGTAATAAAGCTCTACGCAGAGTGAAACATTCTACCAACAAAAACTACTAACGTGTCTGTCTCTCCATACTTGTACTGTAGGAAATACATCATGTCATTCTGTACACGACAGGTCACATGGAGCTCTTTCATGTCGTCACTCAAAACTGTTTACGGAATCTACACCCAAGATCTGTTGATCACTCACAATCTTAGAAGAAGACTGCGACTACATTAATAAAACCTTCCTAAAATTCTGCAATCCACACCACTTCAATACTGACTGCTGGAGAAGAGTGAAGATACTAGTATATCCGGTCAAGCGTCCAACCCCAGTCTGTGTATCGTTCTGCCTTGCAACAACACAATCAACAACCCTTCCATATCTTCAACAATAGCTAATACCAGAGTTTCCACCACAGCCTCCAATACAAAAAAGAAAAGAAATTAGTTCAGAGAAAACCGTGAGAAACAAAACCACTGCCGGCGTCTACAAAATACTACGTGCAGATGGTGGTAACTTTGACGTTGGTGAAACCTCTAGAGACATGAACACGAGGATCAACAACTAGTGAACTGCATATCAGAGAAATGACACAAATAATGGCTGAACTGTTCAAAGCAACACAGACATCTGATGAACTTCTCCATCGTCAAAATACTTATCAAAGAAGTAGATAGAAAGAACCAGCTGTGCTTAGAATCAGTCTGATAGCTACGAGTAACGCAATAACACAGAAATCAAGTTCATTCCTAATTTCTGAATCTCTGGGCAAACTTATTTCATCCCAAATAATGCTACTATTACATAAACCTGTGTGGAGAATCACAAAGTCAGTTACTGAGCCACCTAATAATAAACTTCAAAAATTCCACCTGACTTGACATCACCCGCCGATCTCGATACCATACGTCTATATATATATATATATATATATATATATATATATATATATATATATATATATATATATAAATATATATATATATATATTGTCGTGCCGAATAGGCAGAACTTGCGATCTTGGCTTAAATAGCAACGCTCATCTTGCCATATAGGACAAGCGAAAATTTGTGTATGCAATAATTTCCCAAAAATCATTCTGAAGCTAACGAAAAAAAATATAATTCACTGTGTTTGTTTAGTATTAAATTATTATAAACAAATCTAAAATATATTTAGTTGGGTTAAGCTAAAATAAATTGCTCTTGTTATAATAAGGTTAGGTAAGTTTTCTAAGATTCTTCTGGTTCCTAGATGATGGCACACTAGCAGGTACAAAGGAGTCCCTCCTACATGACCTTGCACAGGTAATGACACGGGGACAGGAAATGGGTATAGTCCTGAATCCATCCAAATGTGAAATCATCTCAGTCAGTCAACAAGTGATAAATGCAGTGAGATCAAAACTACCAGGAGCAGCAGTCATTGCCCCCACAGTGTCTTGCTAGTAGCACCTCTGGGAAGCAATGCCATTGACACAATTCTCAGGAAGAAATTGGAAGAGTTAAGGAGAATGGAACAACGAATAGGCAATCTGGACACCCACGATGCCTTGTACCTTCTCACAAAGTGCTTGAGTCTGCCCAGGTTGACATATTTCCTAAGATGTGCACCTTCATATGATAACCCTATACTGCACGAATATGACAGTATTCTGAGGCAGATTTTTACGAAAGTACTTAACCTTACTCTAGAAGACGGGCAGTGGAACCAAGCTACACTTCCAGTCAGACTAGGAGGCATTGGTGTCCGCAAGTCATCACAGATTGCGTTACCTGCTTTTCTGTCCTCGTGTATTTCATCCAGAGAGCTTGTAGCAGCGATTCTCCCTGAACATCTTAGGGACAAGATTGGAGTCCAGGACCAAAAATTCATTGACGGAGCAATGATCTGGGATAATCTAACGGGCTCTGAAACCAGACCTGCTGCCCCCAACAACTACAAACAATCGCACTGGGATGGTCCAATAGTGGAAAATATAGCCTCAACAATGCTTCAGAGTGTGTCAGGGAAGGATAGAGCCCGCCTCCTGGCAGTGAGAGCCCCTCATGCTGGGGTCTTTCTGTTGGCTGTTCCCAACTCCAGCCTTGGCACACGCCTCGACCCACAGACCATCCGCATCGGTGTTGCCCTTCGACTTGCCGCCCCTATTCTCGCCGAACACAGGTGTGAAGTGAAGCAGCAGACCGATTCGGGACCATGGTCTTTGTGCCGTAAATCCGAGGAAAGTTTGCAAGCTTGGGGGGTTTAATAAATTATAAAGGGGAGCCTCACAACAGCTGGATCCCCGTAAGGGAGCCCCCCAACTTGCAGATCGATGGCACCAGAAGCGTCCAATGGTATCACCCTTCAAGCCGGGACAGATGGGAAGCAGGTGGGTGGGACTACATGTGCATCTCCCTTTGCGAACCTATCTCCAAAAACCCCAGGGGGAAGGAGGGCAGCTGCAGCTTTAGGGAGTCCCAAAAGCCCTGAAAATATAAAAATTTGCCCCATTATATATTTGTTCCCATAGGCTCGGGGGAACCCTTGCTCATGGGGAAAGAGTGCACCAAATTCCTTAAGGAGCGGGGAAAAAGACCAAGGGTAACTAAGGATCCCAGGGCAGCTAGTTTTCTGTTCCAGGGCTCAGTGGGGGCTTTTCAAAGGGTAATGCCTGCTGTATTTTGGGCACACCCCCAGCTTGAGGGCGGGATGGATTTTCGCCTTATAATCGGTATACACCGTAACAACATGTACCTTATATCCACCTTTTATATAAACAATGTATCTCTTAATTTTCTGTACCATATTATGTATAAAATATTCCTTTTGGTAAAAAAAATATATATCAAAAATGGGGTGGTAGGGGAAGTGGAATATTCAAACGGCTTCAGGAAGAAATCCAAATTTTTTCCCTTGAAGCCTTTTTATCCACTTCTCCGAGGCTAGGGGCCCCCAAAATTTACCCCAGAGGTGGCCCCCCCATCCTATATTTATATAATATATATAATATATTTAATATATTATTAATATAAAATATATATATTATATATATATAATAAATATAATATATATATATATATATATATATTATATTAATAAATAAAATTCGCAAACGGCGAAATATTCATAAATCTAATCTCAGGTCGAGGAGACCGAACCTACTAACCTGGGAACAAGGTACGCAGTGCTCTACCACAGTGGTCAATCCGTCATCCTCAGATTAGTGTTTGTGAATATTTCGCCTTTTCTGCGAATTCTAAAACATTGTAAAAAAACTTTCTTCGTTCGATGCATGCAAGGGATAAGATGAAAAACTAAACACCACCTGCCTGAACGTACCTTGGACCTAAACATCTAGTGTTAGCTGGGCGCCAAGGTTTGACCAGTGTGTTACGGTGGTTGACTCTGCGCACCTTGTTCCAGGGGGTTTGTGTTTTGAGTCTCCCCCTACCTGAGATTAGTATTTTTTTGGGTATATCTACCTGTCTTTTAATAATATATATATATAAAAAATATTTATAAATATTAATAAAACATACATAAATATAATATATAAATATAATATATATATATATATATATTATATATTAATATATATATATATAATATATATATGTAAACCAAAATTCTCATGGTTTGGTTTTCGTATTCTTAGGGGGGATCACGCTGTTTTTTATTTTATTTCTAAAACTACTTTTTTCACAGTAGAATCACTCTCTAAAAGCCATTCTTTATAGGTCAGTCTGGGCCTTAAGCTCTCTGGGTTTTTGTCTAGTTTCTAATATATTTTTTGAGGGAAGTAGCTGCTTGCTGATGCTACATCCAGACGGAACTGCAAAGGGTGTCTCTCGTCCTTTTGATTCCCACAAAATAAACTTTCCCGTCTACCATATTCAGATCATTAAGTCTTTTTTTTGCGTCTTTGAAATATTTTTCCGGACTTTCAATCCACTAATGTAATCAGGTTCAGCTTCTCTAGTTTTTACTCATAGGCAGTTTCTGTCAGCTACGGGATTAGTTTGCTAGAAACCTCTGTAATTTTTCTAAATTATACGCATGCTTAATTAGTTGTGGGTTCCACGCTGTTGCTGTGTACTCCAAGGTGCACCAGACATGTCATGTAAAGGGTTATCAATGAATGTTTACCTAATCCTACGTCGCAAATCATACATTTAGTAGAGAATTGAAATAATACTTTAAATTCGGTGATATAGTCCATCATGATCTTCGCTCTTTCAGAAATATAAGGTATAACTTTCTTATTCTTTCTAAACAGCTAATTCTCTTTAATCCAGGAATCAGTTTTGGTGCACTTATTCTTTCTGAAAGTTCACTTAGTGTTTTGCTTGGAGAGGGTTCCACGGTGGCGTTGCATACTCAACAACAGGCCGGACGTGCGAGGTAAACAAGGTATTCCACGAATCTTTGTCTAGGTTTCTGAATGGCGTTCTTTTGTTTGGTAGTCAAGCCTGTGCTGCTGCTGATGTTATTCTGTTTAAGTATGCTCCAGGGAACATGTCTGGGTAATGGCTATTTCTGGGTCTTTTTTCTCTCTATCAGTTTCTGTGAGTTATTTCCCTCCCACTTTGTGTGTGTGTGTGTGTGTGTGTGTGTGTGTGTGTGTGTGTGTGTGTGTGTGTGTGTGTGTGTGTGTGTGTGTGTGTGTGTGTGTGTGTGTGTGTTTGTGTATGTGTATGTTTTGTGTGTGTGTGTGTGTGTGTGTGTGTGTGT